TAGTAATCACATCAACATTTACCTCTGGTGTATCCAGTTTTACGAAAACATTAACTATTACTCCACGAGCTAACTACTCTACTGTGTTGGTATGACTTCAAACAATATTTTGTTATTTCATGCAATTGGTTCCCTTTATGAATTTAAATAGAGCAAGAACAAACATTGATGCAGAATTGTATGAATTCATATTATTTCGTGGTTTCTCGTCAGCTGCTTACAAACCAAAATTGTGATAGAATTTATTACACCACCCACCCTGGATTAACCCCCTTCTTTTGACATCTGACCTGTTTCTAGCATATATATATAGTTATTATTGTAATCAAGTTATTTACACTCGTTTATGTCAATTGTTTCACACTATCTCCATGTAAAAATTCTATCACAATTTTGGTTTGTAAGCAGCTGACGAGAAACCACGAAATAATATGAATTCATACAATTTTGCATCAATGTTTGTTCTTGCTCTATTTAAATATTTTGTTACATTGAATTTTACTTTATACTTTACTTCAGAGTTAGTTACCCTACCGTAAACCACTGGCTGTTATTTAGGTTTACACAAATATTGATAACTGGTTAGAACAAGTATGATTTTTGCAACGTGACATACATACACAAGTTGAAGTGATGTACAACAGGTTGTTCACTTCGTTGTGTTGTAAAATTTGATAAATTTGAAGACGACTTTCCTGTATGATGATTCAGTAACCAACAAAAGCAGAGTAATATTGAATACTGGATACCTAGCATTTATGATACACACTATGTTACTAAATTATTAGTGAAAATTCGTTAATTTATAATATTCTTCCATAAATCACCTCGTAGATTAGTCCTATCAAGATTTACTTTCGATTTGAACAACAAACCTGACTCTCTGATTGACTTACATGACAGGTTAATGGATCCATCAGGAAATTCTAAAATTCATGTTGAATGAAATCACTGAAGAGCATTGTAGTTTTTTTGTCGAGTTTATTAATTCGTGATTATAGGGATAAGTTGTAAGTGTTTAGTTCATAACACATTTTATTTAAACTTTTACAGAGTATAAGAGGAATTTTCATTTATTAATTTTTTAAGTCACCAAGTCAGGCTCCAGGGGTTGATCTAATTTCTATTGATTCAAAAACAGTCAAAAATCAAGTTATACCGAACTATTTAACATCACTGAAGTTAACGCTAACTCTGAAACCCAATGTATGGCAGTCGATATATTTTCAACTTTATGCTCCAGGTGCCTACCAAGAATACATATTAGTCAAGCCAATAATGCTAAGCCAATCAACATCATTGCCATATGTCAGCTCAGTTTCGGACTCTTTGGAAAATATGGTTTATATCAGTATAGATAAAGCTTATTACGAAGGTTTGTTAACATTTACTGCACTGTTTTACTTATAGTAGTCGGTATTGATATGATTACTAATACGCTATCTCTCAATAGCGAACGGGTTTATAGATGAATCCTTTTCTCTGTATTTAATAAGGCCACCGAATAATGTCACAGCAGTCTTCAAGCTAATTTCTCGTCAGTTAATAGGGTTTTATTACAAATTCAATAATGTACACATTTTCTGTTCTAACTACATATGCACACTCTTATCTACGTGGTTGCACTTTCATATTAATCCCCCTGAAATTTGTTATGGTTTCATCAAAACAATGGATGTAGATTGTTTCCTTGAGTGGTAATCTATTCAGCTCACCGTTTCATTTAAACCATATGCATTGAATCATTTCCCCATAGAATTTTAATTTTTGATTGATAATAAACAGATCAACTACATTTATCAATACACTGAAATATTTAATCTGCAGAACGTGTTTCCCTCCATTAAATAATCCAGTGAAAGTTAATCGATTTCAACTCAGTTCAAGAATTCCAAGAAATTAGTGACGGTTCGCCAGTAAATCAAGATAATTTCCTATGTCTACTCTTTTCTTTGAAACACTTATATAGATATTTCTGTGAAAAAATATCTCCATTGTTAATCATTTGACCGTATTCTTAATTGTAATTAGTGTCTGCGATCAAGTCTACCATTCCTTAAATTTATTGTTCCAGAGAGAACAAAATTCATCTAAGTTCCAAAAACCATCAATATCTGTGGAACTCAGAAAATAATTTTGTCACAGTCTCTTAATCAAACTGTGAATTTATGAACATGGTAGTATTAAGCTTGCAGTTTACAATGCTCTGCTAGTTTGAAATTTATCCAGAAAGAATTAATTGATATTCCCACTGACATTCCTATATCGAAATTAGTTTCAGTTATTCCAACTAAAAAATAATTATACTAGCCTACGTTAAGTAATCTTAAAAGATTTATTATCTGGTTTAATATAGCAATAGTTTATTTGAAATAATGATGATCA